CTCCTTCATCCAGAACCACAACGATGGTGCAGGACCTGAACCGGCTGTCTGGCACCAAGCCTGTGTCCTCACACACAGACGTTCTCACACACCCAGCTGTCCCTGCCTGGCGGGCCCTGTGTTTCTTTCAGGTGGAAGAGAGAGCAAGGAAAAAAAAAAAAACCTGCACATCTGGTAGTGTGACAGCGGCCTTTTATTATCACCTCTAACAAAGACACAGGTGTCTCATCTGCAGAAATCCCCAGCCTCTCTCGAATTGCCTGTTTTCTCTCCTTTTTCCTGACAAATGGACAACCTGTCCAAAGTTGTCACTTCCATTTCCATGTTCTCACTTCTATATCCCGCAGCCTGGCTCCTCTCTGCCACTTGACCCTTGCCTCCGAAGTGCACGACGGACCCAGGCTGTCCCGACCGATGGCCTTTCTCAGTCTCAGCCAAGTGATGCCCCCGGCCCCCAGGCGCTCCTGCACCCTCTCCTCCCTATTTTCCCCTGCACTCAGCCTTCTGGGGGCTTCTCTCCCATGCCATGTGCCAGTGCTGCCCACACTTTGCACACCAAATCCCCCCAGGGTCCAGAGCTGGTTCTTCTCCCAGGAGGCACCTGTCCCTGCTGGGAAGGTCAGACCCTGGACATGATCCCAGCTTCCTCTTCCTGTTCCAGTCCAGCCAGCCCCATCTGCCTCATCTGTCTGTAGTGCTGTGATTTGGGACAGATGACTTGATCTCTCTGAGATTCGGGCCGGAAAGACAGTGGTGACAGACAGATGGCCAGTGTCCCGTGCACCAGTTGTGTGCCTGAAGCTGTCCTCCGTAAGTGGCCGGATGGAAGACAGTGCTTCTCTTTGGCTGCAACACCCACTTCCAACCCCTCAGGCAGCCTCAGCCACACCCCAGCCCTGATCTGCTTTCCAAACCTGCGTCCGCGAGCCTTCTCCGCAGCAGCCTCGCTGTCTGGCCAGAGGACCTGTGTCCTCGCTTCCTGGCGGCACACGTCTAGATCTCCTTCTGCGGTGTACATTCAGTGCCTTGCCTTCCGGCCAGGCATGGTGGTGCATACCTGTCAGCCCAGCACTTGGAGCGGCCGGAAGACTATATGAGTGGGAGCCCAGCACGCGCAACTTAGTGATTTCGTGAAACCAAAAAGGCTTCCATTTTAGAAGGGGGCTGGAGACAGCGCCAGCACGAAGTCTCTGAGTCACCCTCTCTTCTGTGTCCTTGACAAGGTAGCCTCCTCAGGAGAAAGGGTGTGCCTGCTTGTAGTGTCGCCAAGCTTAACAAGGAAAATCACAGGCTTCCCAGTTAAATTCAAACTTGAGATGAGCACTGCACTTCTCCAGGCAGTTCGCCCCATCCGGGGCGTATTTGGGATAATGCATGGGACAGACTGGTGCCAAAGCTGACCTAACTCTGCCCTGTGCTCTGCCTGGCAGCTCTGTGCATTCAGCCCTCTCCAGTGCCCAGCACAATGCTGATGCATTACTCAGGGACAGGCTGCAAGAATTGGAGACTTCACCTTGGGGGCCTTAGCATCCACGCCCTGCTAACCTGTGGACGCCAGGTAGCCTCCACAAACACAGCTCACCATCACTGTGTCCTCAGGAAGTGAGTGGCCCCTAAGCCCAGCCCAAGAGTAACAGCAGAAGGTGCCAGAGAGACTTCATGGGTCTGCGACCCACAGCAACAGCAGGATGGAAACGCACAGCAGATGCATGAGACAGCTCAGTCTGGCTTCGTGTCATTGGTTTGTCCCCCACCTCTGGGGGCTGGGCCTCATCCCAGCTGCAGCCCCAGATGGCACCAGGGGAGGACATTGTGTCACTCCAGGCAGGAAGACCCCATGCTGTGGCAGGAAAACCCTCCCTCCTGCAATCCAGAGTTGGATTGCAACTCTGGTGGCTTTTCCAGCAGGGCTCCCTGAGGTGGGGATGATCCTGCCCTGCCCAGCCCCAGCTGGAGCTGAGAAGACACCTGCACCCCTAATGTGGAGAGGACCTGGAAGGGAGCTCTTGCTAGAGTCAGTGTCAGTCAGGGATCACGGGCCGTGGGGCGAGCCCACACAGAGGGTTCCGTGGGGGGAGGCTCACCACGGAGTGCGTGCATGCACACACGTCTCTACAGTGCTTCTGAGCCTGTTCCCTTTTTCGTTCGAAGCAGTAGGGTAGCTGACTTTCATATGTGGGTGCTGGTCCTGTCAGATTGCATTGACAAAAATGTGAGGTGTCCCTACTCTTCCATGAAGTAATCGTGTCCTTGCGTTTGTCCTTAGCTCAGTACAACCTGCACAGTTGTCCTGCTCCCCAAGGTGCCAGGACCGGGGAATGGATTATTTTGTTTCTATTGTCCAGCATATTTACATCAGCCTAATAGACTTGCTTAAGCATACATTTGTTATGTAAATCTGTTTTTATAATAACCAAAAGTTACAGATGAGATTTCTAAGCCCACAAGTCAGCAAACAACACTGGAACGATTTGCAAATGGAAAGAAAAAGCAGAGTGCTTCTCTATTATTCTTGCCTCTGCGATTACTTTTTCACTCTTACAGCTTCCCAAATTGGTTTCTAGTCCCGGTCATTTGAGTCACAAATGACTGTGTGGGCGACGCTTGGAGGCGGGAGCGCGCACCACACGTGTTTCCACAGCATTCTAAAAACGCCTCATGGTTTCCTTTGAGAATTTCTGGGGTGCTTCTAGTTCTGTGTAAAAAAAAAAATATTGTTCAGTCTCCAGTAACTGGGATGCCCAAGTGGAGTTATCGCCCTGGTTACCAAAGATGGCTGCAGAGTGCGGGGACTCCCAGGGCAGCCAGCGGGAACCACATGGACAGTCACCTTGGATAGGACACAAGACCTGGCACTGAGGTGTTGGGGAGGAGCCGGTGGCACCTGGGGCCTGGATTGTGCCCAGCTCCCACAGCTATGTGTGTGAGCACAGTTAGCCTTCCTGGACACAGGCTATAAAATGCTCAGCTAGTCTGTCTTTTTTATTAAAAGTCTCTACTAGCCTCCTACAGCTAATGTGAGTTTTTAAAAATCTTTAAAACACTGCCCTCTGTGTACCTGGGTTTCCACGTCTGAGGGCCATCCAACCACAGGTGGGAAATGTTCACAAACAAAATTCCAGAACACTCAAAAGCAAAGCTTAGATTTCCTCGCACGGGCACTCTGCGAAGACCTGTGACAGACATGCTGAGTACCCTACTGTTATCTCCTGAGGCCTGGGTTCCCAGCGTCCGGCCGCATTCCAGGGACACATTGCCATGACAGGTGCAGACCTTCCCCTAGCAATGCTGGGGAACAGCTTCTCCCCTGCAACTTGCACAGGTTAGGCATCATAGAGTACACGGGGTGGGGCGGCAGGTCCACAGTGCTGCACATCCCACGATGTGCCCTGAGGCCTCCCCCGGATACTGAGGGATGGCCAGATGTGCCTACAGTCTGTGCCTTGGTCATGGTGTGGACACTGGCTGTATTTCACCATCTTGGGGTTAAAAGCACAAATTCTGGAGCAGCACTGCCTGGGCTCGGGGCAGCCTGGTGCCCTGCTGCCTGCCCTGTAGGAGCTGAGAGACGTGCTTCCATGGCTGCTGGTCTTCTCGCATGCTGAGGGGCAGCAAGGCCTCAACAGGGCGAGTTTGTGCTGAAATGTGGCAGTGTCTCCTAAAGGCATTGCCTTTGCAATGGAGAGAAGCACTCGAGCCCCTGCTCGAGCCACGGGTCTGGGGACAGTGCCCCGTGCTCACAGCCAGGGCATCGCTGGAAGCCCTGGATGCAGAGTGGAGATGTGAGCTCCTCTTGCGGAGGAGCCTAGGCATCGGCCTTGGCTTTGCACAAGAATGATGGGATGACGGCGTCACACACAGGACAGGACATCGAGCACAGTGGCAGAAAGGCGAGCATGGAACCCGAGCTGCCCAAGACGGGAAGGCAGGAAGATGAAGAAGCTGTGGCTCAGCGAACGGCCTTTGTGGGGCAGTGCATCCACCTAAGCTGTAGCACTGCCACCCTCCACGTGATGCGCACAACACACATGTGCGTGCCACACAGGTGCGGGTTGTCAAGCTCCCTCTCAGGCCCTGGCTGAGTCTCCTGTGGGAGTCGGCAGCAGCCCTGTGGAGTGTGCGCCTTCTGGAGGCTGGAAGCCCGGGCTGCAGGCGGGGGGCCGGGCTGTGCTGGTCACCATGCCTGCTCGACCCGGCAGGATGGGGGCTGCGGTCCCCAGGACTGGGCGCCATGAGAGTGTGCAGGCCACTGTGCAGACCCTGGAGGAGGCAGGCTGCCGAGCCTGTCCCTTCCTGTCCCCACAGCCTGTCTCACATCTGTTTCGCGTGGAGGGACGGGGTAGAGGTTGGGGTCCGCTGCAGACTTCCATTAGCACGAAGTCTGCAGCTACAGCGCTCTCAATTCATGAAATTCATGGAGCCCAATTTTTTCTTTGATTTTCCGTTTTTAAACTAAATCAGAGCAGGTTATGGCGGTGCACACCTGTGACCCTAGCACTCAGGAGGCAGGAGGAGCTCTCTGAGCTTGAGGCCAGCCCAGACTACACAGTGAGTTCAAGGCCATCCTGAACTAAATAGCAAGATCCTGTCTCCAAAAAAAAAAAAAAGTAAATTAGGAAAAACAGTCACACCAAGAGCTTACCTGGAAAAGAAAGGACTGACTTCACTACCCAACCATGGAGTTAGAACTGTTTACCTAGTGTTTATGCACATTTTTGTAAACAGGCCTATGCAATATTTAATGTTCCGTTACGACCCAAAACACAACAGGAAACTGACTGGTGCCTTCTGTCCACAATATTCCAATTTCCAGAGTAGCAGAGTCAGTGCCTAACGGATGTTCACCATTCCAGGTAGAGAACACTCAGCCAGGCAGCCGCATCCGTAGCAGAAGGCCTCAGGCGAGAGGCCCTGCCTCTGCCTCTGCACAGCCCCAGACCCTGCGCTCACCCCACCGCTCGTGCTCACAGATGGCCTCTTCCGTCTCTCTTTCCTTGTAGCCAGAGCTACCTGCAAGCTGCAAGGGAGGTGCCTGCCATTCACAGCCTGGACCCTGCTGCCAACTACAACTCCCCGAAGTTCCGCTCCCGGAACCAGAGCTACATGCGGGCAGTGAGCACCCTGAGCCAGGCCAGCTGCGTGAGCCAGGTGGGAACCCTCTGTACACCCGCCTCCCAGCCACACCCCTGCCCTCACCTCTCCTCGGAGGCCAGGAGTGGGTCCTGGCCGGTGTTCACTGTGACTGACTGGAAACCTGTGGGCTCAGCAGGATTACCTTTTGGGCATTTAACGCTCTGCCATGTTTCCCTCAATTTCCCTCAGTAAGCCACGACTGATGAGCCAGTTCCCCAGTCTCTCCCTCTTCGGATTTAGCATGGACTGTCTTCCTCCGCCAAAAGTGGGGCCAGGGAGAGTGTGTGACCGTGGTGACTTCCACTGCATCTCCAGGGCTGCCCAGGGGTCCTCAGGCAGCGCTGTTGGCTGGAGCTGGCTCCATGGTGTTTGTCCTGTAAGACAAGACCCTGGGCTCCATACCTAACCCTGCACAGGACAGAGAACAAGTGCTGTGGCACCGCGAGGTACTTGGTGTCACCAGATGGGCCAGCCAGGCTGCTTGCTCAGCAGGGCTGATTCCCGCTAGGCTCCAGGTACCTAAGCAGACTCAGAGTCACCATGGGAAGTGGGCGTGGAGGGAGGACCCTGGCCAGTGTCCGGCTGGGGCGACCGCCTGGGGCAGGCAGCTCCCTCGGGCCCGGTGTGCAGCAATGAGAACTGAGTGTGTAAATGTGGATTCAACCCGTTGCTTGTTCATTTTAATGAGCACTCGTGGAGAGCTTGACACCTGTGCTCTCTGCTGAGGCTGCAGGGCCGCTCTCCACATGCCCTCCTAGAACACAGGCAACAAAGTCGGTGCCTAGCAGGCATTCGCCACTGCCAGGCAGAGTGCCTGCCAGAAGGAGTGCTCAGTAACGGTGCCGTTTACTACCATAACAAGCCTAATGCACAGCAACTGCTGCCTGGAACGCAGCCCTCTGCACCTGGGCGGGCTGCAGAGCGCTGGCCCACAGGAGCCGGTGGAGAGGATAGGCCACAGGCTTCCGTCCAGCACAGTGGTCCTGGGGCAGGGCCTGCCCGCAGGGACATTGCGCCATGACTTTCCCTCTAAAGCCCGCTATGGGTTGCTGGCCCGTATCGCAGGGAATCTACCTCTTTTGTCTGTCTAGAGGCTGCTTTCCTTAGAAAGGGATTTAAATTTCCATGCACAGCAAAAGGAATTCTGCAGCTCTCTTTCCTAAGGACAAGGCTGCGGACTAGGACTGTCCGGCCCTAGCCCTCAGGGTCCCAGCCTGGATGAACTGGTGAGGGGCCCCACTGGCTGCAAACGATAACACAGACGCATCGGCCGTGCAGCCCTGGGGCCAGACGCTGCGGCCCGTTGACACACAGAGGACAGTCTGCTTTGTCATGTCAGAAGTCTGAGATGGCATTGGAAAGGTCAAAACAGTTAGCTAAAGTCAGGGGCGCCCTGGATGCTATCTCCGCACCCAGTGATCAGGCCGCTAAAGCACAGGTCCTTCTTTTAAAATCGAATACTGTCCCTTTCAGCTAATGCAACTGGTTTAAAAATACAACTCTAACAACCAGCTGTGAGCAGGAGAGATGCAGGACAGAAGTGGCTCCCTGCTGGAGCGTCCTCTCCCCAGGGCCTCTGCCAGCAGGGCCCACTGCACACACTTCATGCCTGCTCCAGGGCTGTGCAAACGCGGCAGGTACCGCCGCCCTCACTGCGGAGCCAAGCACCCTGCACATCAGGCTGCTGGGTGAGCACACACTGGGTCTCCAAAAACGAGTCAATGAAAGTCACATCTTTTTCTGCCCAAAATCTCAATGTGCACAGCAGGAAAGCAGACAAACTAGGTGCTGCAAGGGCTCGAATTTGGAGCTCCAGGTCCTCCCTGTGCTGGCTGTTATGCCATGACCTTGGGCTGAGCTCCATCCCGGCCCTTATGTTTTTATTTCGAGGTAGGGTTTTGCAGTCCCTATGTTGCCTAAACTTGAGGTTCTCCTGCCTCGGCTGCCCGAGTGCTTGAGATTTCAGGGCACACCACCATAGCTAAATAAATTCAATTCCTAATTGTGAAAAAATCGGCAGTTTTACTTACAATGACCTGCTGTGGGCACCTGTTTGTTACCCAGGTTGTGTAGTAACTTGGGGTTCAGGAGCAGGAGGGGGTCTCAAGCAACAGTGGTGACCCCTCCAGCCTACAGAGGGCTGTGGGCTCGAGGGAGGTCCCACAGTCGCAACGCCAGGCAACGCGGAAGCCACACCCCTCCCATGTGCGCAGCGACGAGCGGCTCCTCTGCGGTTCTGGCCAGTAGCCCTCTGGCTGGCTTCTCCTGAGCACCCCAGGATGGCTATGACTGACTCACAGCCAGGGGACCTGTAATTCTGCCCGCAGTGCCCCTGGGACCCCAGGGGTGGGCGGAGACAGCAGCCCCCTTCCCCCGTCCTGGGCCCACCAGGGAGCCCAGCCGCTGGCTCTGCACTGTCAGGCGCTCCTCCCTGCGTGCTAGTGCGAGCCAGACACAGGGTCCAGGAAGGAGGCCACTTCCCAAAGTGCGGGCCATCCGGGAGCCCTTCAGCCTGGGGCTGGTCCCGCTTCAGCTTCCTGAGCATCAAGCTCTTCCTCTCCTGCCCGCTCTTCCATGTGGCTCTAGTCCTTGCAAACCTCTAGCAAGGAGAGCTGAGGGCCGCGTGTCCTCCCGCTGGCCACCATCTCCAAGGCCACTGCTGAGGGTCCAGCCGTGAGCGCTGGCCCAGTATATGCCCAACGGCTGCTGAAGAGCAGGCTCCCTGGTGGTCCATGCCTGGAGTTTAAGTCAAAGGCTGCACAAGTATGGCTTTGTCTGGTCAGCCACGGGAGGAGGTCGGATGCTGAGATCTCCAGATTAGAAAGCAAGCCTGGGAACCAGCAGGTCTCTCTGCCTCAGGCATCAGGAGCTCCAGGGCAGCTGCGCCCACTCTCTGGTTCTGGACTCCTGCTGCTCAGATAGGGATGCGGATAGCAGTGCCTGGGGTAAATCACGTCCCCATGACTGTGAGAATGAACTAAAGCAACTGTACCTAGCCACACGCACCCACCCCCGGTCAGGAGCAAGGGCGAGGGGCTGTGGGGCTGTGGGGGCAGGGGGGC